TTTAAATTTTTTATTTGGAATCGAATCTTTAACGAAGAAATAAAAAATTGATCTAAATTATTAGTATTAATAATTTACAAATTAAAAAAAATCATATTATTCATTCAAATAAAATCATATTATTATTTAATTTATAATTAATTCTATTTATAATATACAAATAAATATTTTATATTTAAAACAGTAAACAATAATAAATATATTATTATAAGATTTTTTGTGTGGATAAATTTCATTTATTCGTCCAAACAAAACCTCAAACACAAATAAACATTACATCACTCAATTCCCAACACCTAAAGAAATAAACCAATCAAAAAACAAAAAACTAAACAACCAACAACAACAAAGTTGAAACTAAAAGCCCCACTCAGCGGCTAAACTAGGATTTGAATTAGAAATCTTCCTACTTCCAACAAGCCTTAGACGAGTACCATTCTTAATCTGAGAAAAAATAACATTGACATGTCGATCTCCACTCCCATGATGCCTATTATTCCTCTCCTGCCAAATATTGTAGTTAAACGCACACCAAACTAACCGAGTGATAGTAGCCTGCAAAGACTTCCCTTTGCAAACCTTTTGCAATCAATTAATCAAGTCCATCCAACCATTGTGAGATCCATCATGCCTACAAGCTTGCAAAATCAATTGTCAAATTTGACAAGCATAATAACATTCAACAAAAAGATAGTCGCAAGTCTCCAATTCATCACCATAAAGCAAACACTGAGGATCTATTTGACAACCCCATCTTAACACCCTACTCTTAGTTGGCAACCTATCTAGCACCACCAATCAAGAAATAAAAGAGTGACGACGAATGGCCAACCCTCCCAAACGACTTTGAACCAAGGCACCCTATCTTGTTTATGTATAAACAACTCCCAAACTTCCATTGCTTTATACCTCCCTTGCACATTTCCAACCAAAGTCAGCTCATCTCTAAGTTTTATTAATTTTTTTCAAGCCCAACGACGACTAGCCTTAACTTGAAACTGCCATATAATGCACCCTTTCAGTAGGTATTTCTCCACTCAAGCAACCCAAAGAGAACTATATTGAGATAAAATCAGCCACAAACACTTCATCATGCATGCTTTATTCCAAACTAAAATGTATTTAACCCCGAGTCCTCCTTCACACTTAGGGTGACAAATCCACTCTCAACTTACTCTAGCCCCTCGAGCAGAAACATCATTTCCTTTCCAAAGAAAGACATTGCAAATCTTAGTAATTTGTTTTATAACCTTCGAAGGCAACAAAAACATTCTACTCCAAAAATTGTATACTAAAGATCATTGCTTTAATAAGTTGAAGCCTGCCAGCAGAGGATAAACATTTTGCAGACCAACTTCTGACTCTTTTCACAATTTTACCCACCAACCCCTCATAGTCAACATAGAAAAGATTCCTAGCAACCAAGGGCACACCCAAATATCTCAAAGGTAAAGTATCAATTCTAAACCCCGACAACTCAACAAGCCTTTGAACATCATAATCCCTTATTGTAAAACAGAACAATTCACTCTTAGATACATTCATCTGCAGCCCAGACATCCTACGGAACACTTCCAAAACCCTTTAAATTACCATAATAGAGGAAATATCATCTTTGGTAAACACCAAATGATCACGAGCAAAACATATATGAGTTAATCCAATCTTTCTACATTTGGGGTGGAAACCAAAAATATTATGCTTCCCAACCAAATTCAACAAGCAATAGCACATTCATAACTATAATAAATAGGTAGGAGAGAGTGGGTCTCCTTGCCTAACTCCATTTGCACCCGGAAAATATCCCACCAATCTCTCATTTAAACCCACCAAAAATTTAGGTCTAGTTATACAAGCTTCAATCCATCCCCTAAATTGTTATGAAAACCCCAAAACCCTAAGAATCTAAAAAATAAATCGGCTTTCCTTAAATCAATCTTAAGAGTACACCTAGGTGACATACATTTCCTTCCATAACCATTCACAATTTCTTGAACTAATAACACATTTTCCAAAAGATCTCTACCTGACAAGCACTTTGATTTGGAATAACAACAACATGTAAACACTGCTTCAATCTATTGGCCATAATCTTGGTGATGCACGTATGCACGGTACTACAACATGAAATAGGCCTAAAATCAGTAGCTTGAACTGGAGTAGAGACTTTAGGCACTAGAGTAATAATGGTCGAATTAAAGGAGTCAGGAAGATAACTATTCAAAAAGAAATAATGCACATTTTTCAGAAAATCCTCACCAACAATTCTCCAAGACACTTGGAAGAACTTCGCGGGATAACCATCCGATCCTGGAGCCTTATTCCCATTCATAGCAAACACAACATCCTTAATCTCCTTTTGAGTAACAGGGGCAATCAAAGAACCCTGCATATCAACAGTCAATTCCACCACCAAAATTTCCCTCAACAAGTCATCCGAACCCAACCTCACTTCTTTATCAACAGAACCCAAAGAGCTAGAGGAAAATTTGATCAACTCATTAGAAATTGTTTTAAAAGTATCAAGTTCATTGCCCTGATTATCCTTGATCATTCTAATAGTGTTAGCTTTTTGCCTAACACTAACATGCCGAGAGAAAAAAGCAGAATTGTGATCACCTTCTTGGATAAATTGGATCCTAGATTTATCTTAAAAAACTTTTCTTTAGCTCTACACAAAATCTCTAACTCCTCTGCAACTTTCTTTTCTTGCACAATAATTTCCCCAGTGGGATTAACCAACAACAACTTTTGAATATTAGTGAGGTTCGGTTGCTTCTCAAAAACTCTCCTGAAAATATCACTAAAGGTGGTGTTTGTTTTCACTGTTTAAGGTCTTCAAAGTTCTTATGTCTGTGCCGCGCATACCACTCCTAGACATTGGACTTCGTAGACCGTTTGATTTTTAGAAGACATAAACTATTCTAACGTCTGCGCGTCCTCTTCTTGGCGCAGACGTGAACTTATGTCTTCAAAGCTCTTCTAACCTCTTCAAAGAACCATTTTTGCTATTAATTTTTTAAAAATTATAAAATGTCATTAAATTTAATGAATTATTACAAAATAGTCACTATAATGATGTAATAAATTATAAAAGTTCGATAATATAATAATTATTTTATAGTATTTAGATAAATTTATTAATAATTTTATAATCTTTTAATAAATTTAATAAATATTTTATAATTTTTTAAACTTTATTGACGAAAATGATCATTTGTATATAACTCAACAATATCTAATATACTTTATTTGAAAAAATATATTAAACTTAGTAAAAAATATTATTCAATTAAACTTAGTAAACTTTTTTTTTTATATATAAAAACTTAGAAAATCACGGGGACATACAATTATTAGTATTAAAAGATAAAATAAATGTTTTAATAAACAAATAATCACACTATTGAAAAATCTGATTCTTATCATTTAATTATGGTAAAGTACGAAAGTCCCTTTATACAAAATAAATAAATAAATAACAAATAATATATTTTTTCTAAATAGAAAAATACTAATTGATGTATATTATATGGAGTATATATTATATATATTTTTTGATGTTAATAGAATCGGATTGTACCACTAGAATAAATTAAGATGGTTTAAATGATATTATAAAATTGAGTATTGATATATTTGTGAATCGATAATAATTGAGAATTAAAATATAATTTTTTTAACAATTACTTAAACCGAAACAAACAAATTGAATTAAAATCAAATTGATTTCATTATCGATTGATTTAATAATAATTTTTAAAATGATATATAATATTAAAACCAAAATCTAATAGTCCGTAGATGTAATAATTTATAATAATAAAATTCATATAATATTTATTTAATATATTTTTTTAAATAAAGTATACTAGATATCGTTGAGTTATATACAAATGATCATTTTCGTCAATAAAGTTAAAAAAGTTATAAAATACTTATTAAATTTATTAAAAGATTATAAAATTATTAATAAATTTATCTAAATACTATAAAATAATTATTATATTATCGAACTTTTATAATTTATTACATCATTATAGTGACTATTTTGTAATAATTCATTAAATTTAATGACATTTTATATTTTTTTTTAAAAAATAATACAAAAATGATTATTTGAGTATAGTTTAAAAAATTAGTTTATTTATATTTCAGTTTATTTTAGCAGTCTGCAAACATTAAAAAACAAACAGTCTTCTTTTTGCATACTGCAGACTTTTGATCCACCTCTTCTGTTGTAGATGTCTGCAGATGTGATCCGCATACCTTTTACTTCTGTAAAAACAAATACCACCTAAACGTACCGAGAGGATCCTTCAACCTCTTGAGTTTAGTAAACAGAATATATAGTGGATTACCATAAACAAACACCTTTCATGACTCATCAACAATATTAAAGAAACTCGGATGGTTCACCCAAAAACTTAAAAAATTGAGAGGTCTGGGAGGCTTAAACAAACTAACCTTTAAGACCAAAAATCAAGGACAATGGTCAGAACAATCAAGAGGCAAAAACTCCACAATTGCACTAGGGAAATAACTAAACCAAGCTTAATTCACCAACAATTTATCCAAATTTTAGACAAAGGAGCCACCTCCCTTCGGTTGCACCAAGTAAACAAAGACCCTAAAAAGATGCTCAACCACATCAATTCTCTCCTGATAATCCAAAAATTCCTACATTGCCCTAGTGGTACCCTGACTGCCATCAAAATCTGAACTCTCAGTTTGACGATTAAAAATATTAAAATCACCCGTAACAGCCAAAGATAGTCATCAACTGTATCCTTAAAGAAATTAAATCCCTCCGACCCTCTCTATCATTATAAGAATTATTGATCATCTTTTATTTACTTAACAATTTAGTTCTTTTAAGATATTTTAAACATTTTCGGACGAGTGACTATGAAATTTCTTTATTTGACAGAATTGCAGGATAAACAGCACCGCCATCAACTGTGAACACAGCAATTCCTTAATTAACCACTAATGGAACCAATTCCTAAGCTAATAAAATTCAACCATTTCTACGATAAAAAAAAGGATTCAAAAACCCTAATGGTCGAGTCCAGAAGCAAACGATCTCCTGCATTTCGGGATTGGTTTGGAGCCATCCTCTCGATGAAATCAAATCGAAATGTGCTTGAAAACGGATTCAATCGATCTTCACCGATGAGTAGATGAGCCTGGTGAACCAGAAACAAGCATAGAAGCCGATTGTACCGGTGAGGACGAAGAACGCGTACGATAAGATCAACATGTAGCCAAAGTAGAGAATTCCGGATACCGGTTTCTTGATCTCGAGTTTCGTGAAGAAGTAGAATGCAGCGTAGAGGAATAGGTAAAGTGCCGAAGAACCGGACGTCAAGTAAGATCTCCACCACCATTGGTAATCCTCACTACATAGCTGAAAGTAGCAGAGAACAACTGTGATCTCGGCACAAGTGACAATCAGAATGAGGAAGACGATGAAGAGGAAACCGAATATGTAATAAAACTGATGCAACCATATTGAAGTTAGGATGAAGAAGAGCTCAATGAATACAGCTCCAAAGGGTAGTATGCCCCCGATCAAGACAGAAAAGGCCGGGTGTAGGTACCAAGGTTGTTCCGGAATTTGCCTCCGTATCTTATTAGTTTTCACGGGGTCTTCCTTTACAGCCTTCTTGAAACCAACGTAGCTCCCCACAAAAACGAGCGGGACGGAAATGCCGAACCATAATACAACGAGAGCAAACATGGTTCCGAATGGCACTGCGCCGGAGGATTTCTCACCCCAAATCAGTGCATTCAATACGAAAAAGATTGCAAACAAGGTTCCGGGGAATTTAAGAGCAGTTTTGAGTGCAATTCTCTTCCAGTTTGTTCCTTTGAACATCTTGTATAGACGAGCGGACGAGTAGCCGGCAAAGATGCCCATGAAGACCCATAATAGAAGCATCACAGTCATTAATCCACCTCGATTTGAGGGTGATAGGAAACCGAGGAGAGCAAAGATCATGGTGACAAGAATCATACCAAAAAACTGAACCCCTGTTGCGGCATAAACACAGAGTAAATCGAAGTTGGTCGGAGGTCGAAAAACATCTCCATGGACAAGCTTCCACCCTGTCTCCTCTTGAGCTTCTTCTTGTGTTTCGAGTTGATTGTATTTGGAGATATCCCGATAAAGAGTTCTCAACATGATCATCGCCACCATTGCGGAGAGGAAAAGAACAATCATTAGAGAATTAACAATTGAAAACCAATGGATTCGATCATCAGCCACCAGAAGATAGGTATCCCATCGAGATGCCCACTTTACATCGCTTTCCTGCAAGATTACAACTAGGAGCAAAAAACATCAGATAGACTTAGCCGAACTGTAACGAGCAGCAAGCATCAATGTTGCTCGAAGGGGAATATGTTCGTCCAAGGACCCTCAAAATACTAAAAGGAACTTCGAATGATTGAACATACCAATCATAGTTCGAGTAACATACACATGCATTCTCAATTTACATAAGAGGTACAAGACCTGACCTGGAACTCAACATCATATGTGAATATGATCTTCTTTTCTTCAACCTCTTGAGGAGACTCAGAGCTAGTTACTGCACGTTTTGCATGAGGATCACAGGTTATTAGACGGGTCTTCGTATTCCATTCAGCCTCATATTCATGTTTAACGCTGCATTTATCGACATGATTCGCTAAGAAATTAGAAAATAAACACCATTGATTAAAGAAATATGCCGAGTGATTGTTGATAAACAAAGGGGAAAAAGGTAATAACCTGAATGGCTTGACCTCAAATCCAACAATCCGTGCCGAATCGACCAATGGATCCTTGTGAAATTTGACCGTAAATGCCAAATGATTGTTAATGAAATGTTTCTCTTCCTTGCTCTGCAATTGTCAAATAACAGACCAGCATTGTTTAAATCATCAATGGAAAAAATTATCAAAAATTTATTCTAAAAAGAATTTCATCAATCTAGCATAATTTTTACCCCAGCATACTTCCCTTTGAGACCAACATGAAACCCATGCTGATAAACTACAGATGTTTCAACATCGAGCCTTCTTATCGGAACAACCAACGGAAGATTATCCAAAATCCTTATCACAAACAAATCACAAAAATATCCATTGGTACTCAAACAAGAAATGCCTGAAATGGAATACTGTAATTAAGATTTCCATGAATGAGAGACTCACATGTTGACTCTATACTCATCATCAATCATCTCCTTGAAAGCCTTCGCAGCTTTCTTATCAAGAACTTTACGACACACGACATTGCACACACATGATTCTCTCATTTTAAACTGCATATCAAATGATCATTTCAATCAGTGGGAAACCAAGATAGAGTTGAAAAGAAACATAAAAGAAATCATGATGGAGTCACCGTATAAGGGGAGTTTTCAATTCGATCACCACGAAGGACTTCCCCAAGATTCTCTGCACTGTCGACTATGTGATCAGGCTGACAATAGGGTAATGAATAGTAGGAATAAGGAAGCTGTGTTTTTGTTGAAGTCAGCTTATTCACTTTCACGTTCAAAGGATCCCCCTGCATTAATGGACAAAACAGAAAACTGAATAATTTTAGGATCATAAAATGCAGATCTGAATAAAACCCAATAAAAGAATGGAAAATTCCAGTCGACCCAAAGATCCATAGTACATGATATCGATGATGATGACGAGGATGCATGAATTAACATGATATACATGCATGCAGGAACTGACCGTTTGGAAATCTTCAGGGGCAACACCAGGGAGGTAGAAGCAATGAGATGGAAGGAAGAAGAGAGAAAACAAGGAGAAGATCCATGAGACGTGAAAAGTATGACCCGCCATGTTATTTTTTCTTTTTCTTTTTCTCTGGATCTCGATTCGATTGCCTGAATTCCCACTTTTCACTATTGAAAATGGAAACTAAATAAGAAAAAGACACTGTTTTTGAATTATTGCTGGTGTTATGGAGTTGAATTTCCTCGTTTGTGAAGAAAGGAATGAAGCGAAAGGAAGGGTAGTTTGTTATGAAGGAGCTGGAGCGAGAAATTTATGTTTAAAAAGATACCCTTCCCCTCCATTGGCGCCATGAACAGAAGTCTACTTCCTTTTCTGATGTACGGTCTCGATAGTTTACATGTGTTACGTGTTTGCGAATCAAAGAACAGACTTTTATTTCCCATAAATGAGATTATAAAAGGAAAGGAATATTTCTTTTATTTCTATCAAATTTTTCTATACTATTTTTAATAAGATCATGAATTTATGATATAAAATCAAAATAAAATTCCACCTTTAGGTCATCGTTGATTAAGAAGAAAAATAAAGAAATTGAGTATATAAACCAAGTTTGAACACAATCATATAAAAGCATGACAAGGAAGGATAAGAAATTTATTGGTAAAAAAGCTTGTGTAGTTCTAACTTCCATAGAAACAAACCAGAAAAGAAAAGACATGCAGACACACTATCCCACTCCCCCTCCCTCCCTCATAACATGTTTTTTTATTCAAGAAACAGATCTTAAAGAAACAAACAACCTCAAACAGGTTGTTCTCATCTTTTTGCTCCCCGTGTCTACCACGGAGCATGGTCCGAGCTTCCATTTAAGACGAGTTCTTCAGAACCCATTCCACCAGAGTTGAGATCCCAAATCCAGTTGCTACATGCTTCTTATCATTCAAGACCGGGCCAGCCATGTCGATGTGCAGCCACTGTACCTTTTCATCAACAAACTGCAACACCATAGTTCCAACAATGATGAAATTACACAACATTGTTCGACCGAGGAGACTGCAATATAGGAGCGCAAAAACAAATATACAGAGTAAAATTCACGTACTTGTTTCAAGAACAGAGCTGCATTGATAGCGCCGCCTTGACGACCACCAGTATTTACCATATCAGCAACTCCTGATTTCATCGACTCCCAATAGCTTTCCTCTAATGGCATCCTCCAAAATTTCTCACCACTATCCTCTGAAGCTTCCAATACCTCCTTTGCTAGATCATCACTGGGTGTGAAGACTCCTGAAAGAAAAGTTTCCAATGCATTGACCGTGGTGAGATAGTCCATAATATGCCCTTTTGGTTTCGATTATCGAATAACAACCAATGAAAACGATTAACACAATGGCCTTTTGAAGAGAATATGAATAAGAAAAACTCTATAAATGTTAAGATGAAAATTGTTATATTAAAGTTTCGATTTTAATCGTTTACAAGGCAAATGCAGAATTTCATTCATGTATGTCTGTTAAACATTAAGATATCCTTTTGTTTCTCCAAACTTAATTGTCATCCAGAAAATGATCGTAAGCTTGATTCCGAAACTAATCAAAGATAAGGTCAGAAAACTATATTCCGGGAATTGTAAAATTCATACATACCTGCAATTGAGGGACCAAGAGCAACAACACAAGCTCCGGTTAGCGTTGCAAGGTCAACTATCTGCAAAGTTAGTTAACAAGTCTTGAAAAATGTAATTCTGATCATCTATACAAAATAAGCAAAGTACCAGGTTTTCAATTCTTATAATAAAAATCACAATGTCAAGTGTTTGGCTTTACCTTCTCAACACCTTGGTTGCAAGCATAAACCAGAGCATCAGCTAGTGTAAGCCTACCTTCTGCGTCAGTATTATTAACCTGCAATTCACATGGTGAGCAGCAAATTATTTATTAAAGACAACAAAGAAAATACCCAATTATAAATGTCACAATGCCTAACGTTCATGTAAACCTCAATTTTGTTTTCTGGTACTAAAATAAAACACACCATACCTCAATTGTCTTTCCATTTGAAGCTGTGACAATATCTCCAGGCCTCATACCCGTTCCGCTTATCATGTTTTCACAAGATGCAACAATAAAATGAACCTGCATAAAACACGATAAGAAAAGAATACTCATCCTTTCCCCAGAATTCAAAATATAATCTTCAAAAAGAGAGCAACCAAATGAATTACCTCTACTCCAGAAGGTTTGATCTGTCCAAGGGCTTTTGCTGCACCAAAAACAGCTGCAGAACCTCCCATGTCCACTTTCATGGTTTCAATCGAGCAACCAGGTCCAGTCTTGATATTGTAGCCACCACTAAGAACATATAAGACAAGTATTCAAAACCTGAAAAATACAATGCTGGATATTTCCTACGCTAACTGAATCATAAAATATACTCCTGCTAGAATATGTCGATGTAAGTACTTATGAAATTACCTGTCGAAAGTCAATCCTTTTCCAACTAATGCTAACTTGGTTTTAATAGGTCCACTCATGGGTTTGTAGCACAGATGGATAAAATGAGGAGGATTTGCAGATGCTGCAGCAACTCCGAGATATGATCCCATCTTCAACTCCCTGCATTGCTCTTCTGTAAAGATGTTTGCAGACAGAACATCGCTGTATGTAGAAGCAATCTTTGAAGCCTCTTCTGCTAGTGCAGCTGCAGGCATAAAAAAGACACATTAGTTCAAATTTTACAAATTTCCTCATCCTTTTATTGCCACATTGAAACGTTATGCTCACTCTCACTAATAAGTTAGAAATTCAACCTTCTAATTACACCTTCAGGCATAAAACTAAACAATAATCATCCTTACAATTAACTGCAAAAAAGAAATGGTTATCTAAAAGAAAAAAAAAATACAAGAATAATGCTTATACGAACCAGGGGTAAGCACATTGGCCGGTGAATTCACAAGCTCTCTTCCAAATAGTATAGCATAAGAAACAACTTCAGCATACTTGAGCTTCTTCTCAATCTCCGATCCAGTTCCAAGACCAATAATATCCACAGATTTAAGCTGTGATTTCTTTGACTCGGATTTGTATCTATTATCTTCACATGTTCCCAGCACAGTCCCTATCATAATGCAAACCATTCAACTAAGATAAACTCCAATCTTCAGAATAAGAACATAGATCATGACACTAAGGAATTGAAAGAGCATTACCAGATGTTATGGCCGAAGCAGTACTGCTCTGACTCGGTGGATAGACCTTCTGAAGAGGTAAGGACGATGGAAACGCTACTAGCTTGAGCATTCTTTGCAGCTGCAACAACAGCCTCACCAAGCCCACGAAAAACAGCCGAAGATGAAGCTGACCGTCCAAGACCAAACAAACCAACCCTTTTTGGAGCCAAGGCCTGGAAGTCTATGAACCATAGACTGGTCTGTTTTCCCTGTGAAATCCTCCTCAAGAGAGGTTTCGGCTAAGAGACCGCCCAACAGGCCATCTAATTTTTTCAAAAGTGAGTTCTGAAACTTGGAGTTTTCATCCTTGATCATGTCTTTCTCAGTGACCCCAACTGCAAGTAGGTCCCCTTTCCATTCTGCCACATCAATCTCTTTTGCAGAAAAAGAGACCTTTCAAGCATTTTACAAACATTAGACTGACAAAAAAATTAGCTAATCTCTACTCCATTTATTTCATAATGCCCGTACTCGGCAATCCAATGATATGCACCTCAAAATATCAACTTTTACAAACCCTTAATAAAGAATCAATCCATGAAGTTCAATTCCTTAAAAAAGAAAAATTCAAATGAATTTCAAACAATTAACAAAAGAAGCTCACTTTTTTAGAGTAAAAATTTCAATCTAGAACCCAGTAAGTCAATCAAAAAATAGGATTTTTACCTTGGGGTGTTCGCTTTTTGCCGGCTGAGTAAGGCCAAGAGTGTGTGCCATGAAGAACACAAAAAGAACAACCGGGGATAAAATATAAAACTAGGCTCAGATGAAGACTGTAAGTAGCTGAAAATCAAAGATATATATAAAAGAGAAGAGTTAGAAACAAGATTAAGCTAAAAGAAAAGAGTGAGAAACAACAAAGACGACGATGACAACCATTTTGCAGTACTTTTTAAGTATAAAAGATATTTGTGAAAAAGCTAAAGTATTTCCAAGCTAACTATGATGAATGATCGGTGCATCGACAAAGACATCATTTTCTAGGCCATCGCATCACATTTATATACTATTCATGTTTTAGATTACATTGGGTATCTAATTCACAAATTTTACCGTGCGATTTTAGAAATGTAAAATCATATAATCGTTTAGGTTTCAGCACATATATATCGTATCAAGTATCAAATTAATTTAATAGTTCGACTCGATTTAGTTCGAGTCATTATCAAATTAATTTTACCATAAGATTCAGTTCGAGTTTTAGTTCGAATCGATATCAGTTCATGTCAAAACAGTTTAGGTTCGAATCAGTTAAATTCTAGGTTAATTCAGATTCGGATGGACTTCAGGTCGAATCTCATTCAGATCAGGTCACATCATTGACAGACAAAATTCATGTCGGATCTTATTGGATACAAATTGACTTCAGGTCGGATTATTTTTGGGTTAATTATTTTTCGTCTTTCATAAACGAAGAATTGCAATTTTTAATTGTATATGATTTGGAGTAAATTAAAAAAATATAAATAATTATGGGTCAATTTTGATAAAAAAATATAATTTTATGGACTAAATTGAACAAACGTGAAATTACAAACAAAATTTAAATAAACTAAACAACACACATGGATGAGGGAGCAAATCGAAATAATTAAAAAATACGAAGTTGAAATTAATATAAAATGGATGAGGGATCAAATCGAAAATAATTACAAAAAATATAAATAAGTATGAGCCAATTTTAGGTACAATTATAATCTTAAGGGTTAAATTGAACAAATATAAATTTTAAATTTAAATAAATTAAATAAGATAGAGGGATCAAATCAAAATAATTGTAAATGTAAAGAAAAATTGTAAAATGAACTGAATTACATTCATTTCAAAAGTTGAGGAAAAAATTGAAACAATTATAATATATATGTATGTTATGATAATATAACACATGTATATATATAATATGTATGATGAATGCCATGATAATATAATTTATGTATACATAATGTATATTATATATTTATATTTATGCATTCATTATATGTATATACTTACGTAAGTATACATTATACTTATGATATGTATGTCAACACACCTTTTCGTCCTACTATGATTCAAAACT